GGCCAGGAGCAGCCACTGCACTCCAGTCTGAGCTACAGAGTGAGAGTCCAACTCAAAAAGAAAAAAGAAAAAAATTTATAGAAACAAGGAGGTTTAGCTATTATCACATGGGAGACCATTATCCAAGGACAAAGGAATTTCAAAAACCTTCCCCAGATCCTTGCAGGAGCCTAGAGATCTATGATTGTCAACCCACTTTTTTCTGCCTTACAAACATAAAAGACAAGACAAAGCCCACATAATTCTAAGAAACTTCTTTAAGATATTAGTCCGTCATCTTGGTTTGCTGGCTCTCCAAAATAAAGTTGCTTCCTTGCTCTAAATTCTTATCTCTTGAATTATTGGTTGTCATGCAGTGGGAAGAACAAGTTTGAGCTCGGTTACAAAGCAAACACATACTTAAAAATAATTTTGCATTAGCAGTACCATTTATCCAGAATAAGTCATCCAATTTGCTCTTCAAAACTTGACTGAAAGCAGGAGATGTGATGGCCAAGGCTTCCTCCTTTGAGGGTCCTGGGTGAGGGTGGGGTCCCATGTCCCCCATCCCCATGCTAACACATCAATTTACAACTTTGTTTGATGGGACACATACAGAGCTTGAGGCTATGGAGAAGCCACTAGACCTGACTCCACCTCAATGTCCTCACCTGTAAAATCAAGGCAATATCTACATGGAGCCCTATTCCTTTATCTTTTTGAAGTTCTTACAATCTACTACACAAATTAGAAATGTTGGATTCCAAATCCTATTATTTTAATTATTAAATAGATTGTCAACTCTCCCTTTACAGTATACAAAAAATGCAATCAGTATAGATCCTGGTGTATTGTTAATAAAGCACATTTGGGTCGGGTGCAGTGGTTCAAGCCTGTAATCCCAGCACTTTGGGAGGCCGAGGCGAGAGGATTGCCTGAGCTCAGAGGTTTGAGACCAGCCTAGGCAACTTGGTGAGACCTCATGTCTACAATAAATCAAAAAATAAGCTGGGTGTGGTAGTGCCTGCTTGTAGTTCCAGCTACTTGGAAGGCTGAGGAGGAAGGACTGCCTGAGCCCAGCAGGTCGAGGTTGTGCCAGCCATGAGCATTGCCACTGCACTCCAGCCTGGGTGACAGAGTGAAACTCTGACTCAAAAATAAATAAATAAATAGAGCACATATGGAAAGTTTTAAGTATATTTAAGGTTAATTTTGAAATACAACTAATATATGTTTTAAACTCAGTGCTGTATCATTCTTAGTTTAAAACAATGAAGCCCTCAAAATCTCAAAGTAGGGTAGAACACCTCACTGGCTTATTACATCAAACTGCCATTTAAAAATATAAGTGATCAGGCCAGATGGCTGCTGGAGCCTGCAATCCCAGCACTTTGGGAGGCCAAGAGGGGAGGTTGGGTCGAGGTCAGGAGTTCTGGAGCAGACTGGGCAAGAGAATTAGGCCTTGTCTTGACAAAAAATAAAAAATTGCCTGGACCTGGTGGTGAGTACCAGTAGTCTCAGCTACTTGGAGGGCTGAGGTGGGAGGATTGCTTGAGCCCAGGAGTTTGAGACTGCAGTGAGCTATGATCATGCCACTGCACTTCAGCATGGGCAAGAGCAAGAACGATTCTATAATAATCATCATCTAATAATAATAATATTTTTAAAAATTAAAAAAGATCAAAATTAACAGCAAGGAAACATGGTTAAGGATACCATCATGAAAATTTCAAACTAAACAGAGAATAGGCAGCCATTTCACTGACTGGCTACTGACTAAAAAAATCTCACCATTGTTTTTTAAAAGCTTCCTGAGGGGGAGTGCTCTCTTTTTCTACCTTCAAAAACAATAGGAGGATCAATCAATCTGGATGATACAAATAGAAAATATTCTAAAATCATTCAAGCACGATGCTAAAAATCCTACCTTGGCGTGGCAACCATCATTTAGTCCTCTCTAGTTGAGCTCCATCTCTGATCCTAAGCTTCCAGAAATGGTCCAGCTGCCTGTTTTCAATTGGTTGTCCTTTGAAAGAAATTGAAACACCTGCACTGGGGCCCAAACTGCAAAGGCTGACTTTGCAAGGCAGCAAGGAGAAGCCTATCTTATCTAGTCTTGGTGGGTCAGGCCAGGTATTGGATGGCTCACTCTGTTTTAAGATCCTTGCCAAGTCTCCCCTTCACTTGCATGATTGATTAAAAGTGGACTATATGCTGAAATATTGCAGGCAGCATTTAATAGATATCTGCACACAACAGCAAATGGGACTTGAGTGGAAAAATGGGCACTCTATAAACTTCAGTCACATACACAAAATTAACCTTGAGCTTAGCTACATCTCAGCAGAAAGAGAAAACTAAACACGTGGAATTTTTTTTTAACCTCCTGACCATTTGATATTTCTTATATAATATTGTGATTTTTTAAAAAAATGAATACCTTAAAAATAAAGCTCTGTGTCAGATGTCACATAATGGTCTCCTCTATGTGTTCATAGGGTATAATTTGAAAGATACCAAATAAGAAACATAGTTCTGAAATATTCCCTTCTTTAGACTGTCATTGATGTCTGAAAATGTCATCATTGGTCATTTTTTTTATCAAAAGCATAGAGAATAACAATACCTATTATGATGATAATAATACCTATTATTCTTTGACCTCCATGGGCCAAGTGCTTTAAATATGTTACTCCTATTCAACAAATGAAATAGTATTACTGATTCAATTTACCATCCAAGAATCTGAGATTCAGTAGAATTGAGCAACTTGTATAAGATTGTATGGAAAGTAAGGCATATAAAACCCAACTTTTAAATACACCATATCCATTCCACATGGTCATTACTAGAGAGACCAAACCACAATCCCTGGAAAATATAGTAAAAAATGCTCCAAGGGATGATTAGAGTCTTTCCAGCAGGGAATCTGACAATTTCTGAAGAAAGTGTCCTCTCTAGTAAACTTAGGTGAAGTGAAAGATGGAGCCATGCTTGAACCCCAAAAATTCACTAATTCACTTTGAATCACACATTCACTTAGAATCAGTGCTGGAGGAAGAACCATGAATATGCAAGAATTGAAGCTAGCACTGAGTGCCCGGTCATGGAGAATGGTGCTACATTGCTGGGACAAAGCACTGAAAAAGAGGGATATGGTTGGTCCCTGAACCCTTAGTAGCCAATATAAGTCTAATCGGGATGGAAGTTATCATTAAGATGACACAATACCTATGCTTTCTCCCAAAACTTGCAAATTTATGAGACACTGACCTTCCATATGACCCTGCAATCCCCCTACTGGGAATATACCCTAAAGAACACAAATCACTCTATAAAAAAGATACCTGCACACGTATGTTTATCGCAGCGTTGTTCACAATAGCAAGAACCTGGAAACAACCATGCTGCCCATCAAGAGGACTGGATTAAAAAAATGTGGTACATATACATGATGGAATACTACGCAGCCATAAAAAAGAACAAAATCATGAATTTCGCAGCAACCTGGATGGAACTAGAGTCTATAATACTGAGTGACCTCTCACAGAAACAAAGATTCAAATATCGCATGTTCTCACTCATATAATGGACCTTGAACATCCAATGTAATACTCTAAGAAAATGACTGATGGTACTGGGAAACTATGGGGGGGAGGGGGATGGGATTAACAGTAGCAAATATCTGTCAGGGATGGGAAAACACCTCTTATCAACAGGGTGCCTGAATGAAACGTAATTGTACACCTAACCCTTAACTGTACCCCACAAAACCATAATAAAAAATATTGATTAATAAAAAAATCAAAAGTAACTTGTCTCATCTTCACTTCTCAGTCATGGTCTTAGAAAAAAGACTCAGCATTACACACCCTTTTGGGCAGACTGGCCTTTGTCACAAGCCTTTACAGAAATATTAGACAGCAGCTTGGTTCCCAAGTCTTCCCTCATGACTTCATGTGGACAGGCAATTATATAATCCATTTTCATGACTGTAACCTCTCTAGGTAAGCAGCCATCACTAAATTTCCCTTAAAGAGTGAAGACTCATCATTCACTCATTCATTTACTCAACAAATAGTTTTGTGCAAAATAAAGCAGAAAGATCCAAAGCAGAAGGATGGTCAGAAGACTACACTCCAATCTGCAACAGATTGGGACCCCAACTCAAAAGTAAGAGAGAGAGAGAGAGAGAGAGAAACCCAAAACCTGATGTCTTCACAGCTGAATTTTTTCAAGTAGCTAAAAAGCTAATACCAGTTTAATTCAAACTCTTCACAAAAATGGAAGAGGAGGGAATAATTTCCAAGTGACTACATGAGGCCAGAATTACTCTAACAGAAAGACAAGACACACACACACAAAGAAAAAACAACAACAACAAAAAACACAGCCTAATATCACTGATGAACACAGGCATAACAAAACATAGCAAAAAGCAAGTTAAATTCAACAATACATTTTTGCATATTGTTAGAATTAGCAATTGATTGCATTTTGGCCTTTTCTATATTCATTAATAAAGGGATATATGTTTCTTAATTATATTCTCTACTTTTACAATCATAGAGTCTTAATTTTTTTTTTTTTTTTTTGAGTTGGAGTCTCACTCTGTCACCCCAGACTGGAGTACAGTGGCTGCTCCCGGCCACTGCAGCCTTGACA